TTCAAGCAGTGGAAGAAGTACGTGGGCTTCGACAGCTGGGACATGTTCGGCGTGGGCGATCCCGGCCTCTTCCCCGGGCCTATCGACAACTCGGGTCTCTTCGGCGGTGAGTGCTGCCCGGCGGCGCTGGGCCGGGGGGGAGCGGGGCCCTGGGCGGTGGGGGCCTGGTGCTCGGGTCGCAGCCCGGGCTGGGGTAAGTAACCTCCGCGTGCGGTCGTCTCGTCGTGCGTCTTTCGCTTTTGAAGCCGTGTGTTCTGGGAGGGTGCAAGCGGCTGTCCCGGCCCTGTAAGTGGGAAGACTGGTGCGGTGTCTACCTACCCGTGGGGGTGTTGGTATTTCTTTCCGGTCATAGTAGTATGTGTGTAGTTCTTGAGAAGAAAGGATTATGTTTGATGCTGTGCTTTCTTACGTCTGTCTCCCTTTTAGATCCAGAAACTCAGAGTTTAAAAGAACACCTCATTGATGAGCTAGATTACGTATTGGTTCCCACCGAAGCCTGGAATAAACTAGTAATGTGGTATGGCTGCATAGATGGACAGCAGCCTATTGTGAGAAAAGTAAGTATGGGTGAACCAAGTTCTCTTCAGCCTGCTTTCGTTATCTGATCTCTACGAAACTTAGATGATGTTTATTTTGCTAGATGTGAGTTAAGACAGGATCCTCAGCAGCTCTTTGGAGGTAATAACATGAGGTGTTTCTGCCTTGCTGTCTGAAAGAATGACCTTCCAATATTACAGTTAAAATGCCTGAATCTTCAGTGGTTCTCAGTTGACGAGTTATATGGGGTGAGAACCATGAACCTTGTTCTGGTTAACTTTTTACATTATGATTGTTTGGACTGGTGCAGTGGTCTTATGTTGCATGGAATAGTTTGTGCTTTGCTGAAAAATGCAAGTTGTTAGTCAAGCTTATCGACCTTCTGGGACAGAATGAGGCATTGGAATAAATTGTCTTTTGGTACAGATGGCTTAGGGACTTCCTCTGGAGTTCAAGGTGGTTCTTGTTTTCTCTTCCAAAACTCTGTGATTCTAAAGTCATGAGAAGAGACATATTCATGGTTTTGTTCTGTAAGTCTTATTGTTGTTTGGCAAATGCAGTCATGAATGCTTTCTGAGTATATAACCTGTTCCAGAAGGTGAAATTCGCAAGTTGCTTTTTTGGAAATCTGTCAGATGCTTGTTTATGGGTAAAAGGGTTTTTGTTTTTATTTTAGTCTTAGGTTTTTGTGCTGACTAAATCGAGTAGTGCCAGCCTATGGGGTTCATAAAGACTAATCACTATACCAAGCGAATAGCATTGATATAATGTACAGAATTAATATTGCTTAAGTTTAAGTAGCATTATGTTACAGTAAGGGTTGCTTCAAGGTGTACAAGACCCAGGGAAGTGTGGCACCAGAATGGTAAAAGGAAGGAAGATCCCTCTCTTGCAGGACCACTCATGCTGATCAGTGGTACTGGAACATTGTCATTCAGTGTGGGCTAGAAATTGTATGTAATGAGAAATTCTGACATCTTCAGAAAGCGTAAATGATCCCAGGCTTACTCTGCTGAGTAGGCAGAACTCCTGTGTAAACCAGAAGTGTGGGGAGTGGAAGGTTTTAGTAGAAACAGGTAATTTCTTGAGGAATAGAAAAACTAGAACTGTTACTGATCAGGGCCTCTCTGAGTGAGGAAGCTTTTGTTCATGAACTGGCTAACTGCTTTCACAAAGCCTGGCATGTTCCTAGACACTCTCTTTTCTGAAAAATTTGGAAGTGGGACAAGAGGTTTGGAAGCTATTGGGGAAGCACTTGGGTGACAGGCTTAACTGTATGAGCCTCCTTTTCTTGGGATATCAGATGCCACTATTCAACACTGTATTTAGCGAGGGCTAGAGCTTAGAGCTACTGTTGTTTTACAGACAGAAGATGCTGAGTTATTGTAGTCCGGTTATGAGTAAACTTTTAAAGTTTTGAGTTGCTATGAGAGTTTCAGTCTCAGTTGTTTATTGTTAACATGGTAACTGAGGTGGATTTTTACATTAAAAAAAATGCTGAAATATAGCAGAATAGTAGGCTTGTGGGATGTTACAGCCTCTCACAAAAAATATAAAGTGAAAGGTCAGTGGAACACACAAGCTGCAGCACTGCACCTGAGTAGAACGTGATCAGTATCTGGTTACAGTATTCTCCAGATAGCATTGGAAGTAAAGCACTTGAAGTTGTGGTCCTTGAATGCTTTAATCCTTTTCCTAAAGCTGGATCAACTGTAATTAGTACATCAAAATATCCATAAAAGTAGGATTTGGGAAGTAATTTTCAGGCATCTTTGTAATTTTACAAGCTGGTATTTCTTCCATTGCTATGTGCTTGATGATGAGAGACAAGTACAGGAGGATTAGATTAGATTTATTTCTGGTTCAGGTTTGTTTTGATAATCTCAAACCATATTTTCAGGCAGTCCTCTATAGAGCCCCACTGTGAAGTGTATTAACGTGCAAAACATAGAACAGTGTGCTTCCTCAGCGGTTGAATGCATGTCGTGCTCAGATTGCTGTCCAACGGGATGACCTGCGTTTTATTTTGACAGAGAACAAGCTAGCTGATCAGACACTATTTAAAAGACATCTGCAGGCAATTAGAGGCTGTTCTTGCCGTTCATCTGTCCTAGCGGACACGGTGATCTGATCAGAAAGAACTTCTTGGAAGGAGTTCTTCCATTTCTGAATATGGTTCTTATTTATTTGTTTCTAACTATAGAATCCTTGAGAACAGGAAGTCCTGTTTAATGAAATTCCTTCTGAAAAAGAAATGGAGAACTTGTGAATTGGTTCCTTTGCATTCTTTAAAAAAAAAAAGTCTAATTTGCCTGTCAAGAAGCTGTTTTAAACAGGGAGTTTTACTTTCTCTTTCTGTTGTAACAGCAAAATATTGAAGAGCTTTCCAAATGTATTGGTTAATTATTTACCTTTAAAGCACCTTGCATATCTAATACAACCCTATAAAAGCTCAGAAGAGGGAAGGATAATTTAGCCAAATTTTCACAATAAGACTTAGTCTTGATTCTTTGTTTCTTTCCAAAGCTGGGTAAAGTTTTTTTCTGTAAAATGATACAGATGTAGATCATAGCAAGTCTGGTGTCACGCAAATAGAATAGAATATTTCAGTTGGAAGGGACCTGCAACAATCATATAGTCCAACTGCCTGACCACTTCAGGGCTGACCAAAAGTTAAAGCAAATTATTAAGGGCATTGTCCAAATGCCTCTTAAACACTGCTACTTTTAAAAATTATACCTGATGGTTCAATGAAATATGATCTGAATTTCTTAGGCTTTATAGCTGCAAAGAACTGTGGAGAGAATTGAGATGTGGGTTTTTTTGTTTTTGTTTTTCCTTTTTTTCCTCCAGTTACATCACAGTTGTCTCAACTGGCCTCTGAAATGTGCTTTTCTTTCTGGCATAATGTTGCCAGAATTATAAATTATAAATTATGATCTGTAGGTGAAGAATGGTGTCTAGTCTTACAGAATACCTTTCTAAAAATATGCTGAAAGCTAGTGGGATGGGTAGATGTCCCTATTGGAGTATTCTCTCAAATGCGAAATTGATTTGAAAATGACTCTGAAATAAAGCAACGTCATCAAAAGGAGTTCTGACATATTTGTCTGTTTTTGCAAGGAGAGGGTAATGAGGCAGATTCTGTATACCATGCAGAAAAATAATTCATGCTTTGTCTTACTTTCTACTAATAGAAAGGATTTTGCTCCAGTATTCCAGGCTTGTTTCTTTTTTTTTATGTAAACGTTAGCCAAAGACTAGAGGCAAAAGGTAATATTTTTTTCTAGAATGCTCTGACTGTGTGATCAAATATTTTTCATGGGTAATTAGCTGGCAGTATCAGTTCAGCTGTGATGATGGACCTTTGGAACTTTGCACTGTGGAAGGAAAGCACTGGGATTTCTTACATTTTAAAAACAAAACAAAAACCCCAAAACAAGCTGACAGAGGTTGTGACTGAATCTGGACTCGAGAGCAAGTCAGTGTTCAGTTTATGGCTTGATTTACAAGACTCCTACAGACTTAAAATCCTTAGACAAGTGTACCTTACAGAGGACTGCTCAGTATTTTAACTTCATGTTATTTTGTTTATCGCATCTGCCTTCTGCTTGCAGGTGGTGGAATATGGTCTGTTTGTGAAGCACTATAAGGTTGAAGTTTATCTTCTTGAGCTGAAGCTGTGTGAGAGCAGCGATCCTGACAATGTAATTAGCTGCCACTTCAGCAAAGCAGATACTGTTGGTAAGTAGTTCTCTGATACATGAAGCTGTGCTCTGATGCTACCTCAAGATATTTTATGCCCTCCAGAACAAGAACAATGTTGATAAACGGGAGCAAGTCTAGTGGGTACCAACAGGACAGTCGGGGTTGGAGCATGTGATGTGTGAGAAGAGGCTGAGGGAGCTACGTTTAGCCTGGAGAAGAGAAGACTTTGGGGGGACCTCGTAGCACCTATGGGGAGGTTACTGAGAACATGGGGTCAGGCTATTTACTGAGTCACAAAGCAAGAGAAGAACGGACAATAGTCATAAATTGAAACAGGACAGATTGCAACTGAATATAATGCAAATGTTTTCCCTATTAGGACAGACAGACATTTGAACAGGGCCCAGAGGGGCGGGGGAATCTCCTTCCTTGCAAGTTCTGAACACCCGATTGGATAAGCCTCAAGCAGCCTGGTCTGAATTCAGTGTTGACCCTGCTTTGAGTGGTTGGACTACGAACGTCCTGAGTTTCTTCCAACCACGGTGATTCTGTGTGCAACACAGGGAGTTGTGGTTAAGAGCTTTGAGGAGCACGTTGCTTACTAACTCACGTCCTTAAGAAACATTCACGTCATTCATGTAAAGCAGTTCTGTCTCTGGTTCTCCTACGATTCCTTCTTCCTAGTGTGTGAATATTTTAGACATCTTCTTAATGGCTCTTCCTACACTTCTGTTCTTCCTGAAATTTGGCGCCTCCCCCTCTCCCCCTCTTCCCCCTCCCCACTATATTTTCCCGTGTAAAAATGCTGAATGTCAGCTGTCGTATATGTCCATAAAGATGCTTTTTTTTCAGTTTGCTGATGTATGGCCTGACAATAGTAACTGAAAACACTTCCTTCTTGAACTTACGTTTTCAAATGATGACTGTTTCACAGAAGTTGGCCTTTGGGCAGAAACTTCTCAATGTGTTTTGAACATTATTGGTTTGAGGGTTTGACAGGCAAATATATGACTGAAAACAGAAATTTTTCATTCTTTCAGACTAAAAATTAGACAAGCTACATAAGCAATTATAACTTCCATGATACATTTTCTACTTAAAGGATGTTGAAGGATCAGTGATGTACCTCCTTGCTGAATGTCTGGCTTGTCAGTTTTTTTTCAAAAGCACTCATGTTTTAGGATTTTTTTTTTTTCCTCCTGAACAGCTACCATCGAGAAAGAAATGAGAAAACTATTTAATATCCCAGCTGAGAAGGAAACTAGGTTATGGAACAGGTATATGAGTAACACTTATGAGCAGCTCAGCAAGCTGGATAGCACTGTGCAAGATGCAGGGCTCTATCAGGGTCAGGTAAGGGGCATAACTTTTATTTAGATTCTCATGTACTGCTTTCTCTGATACATAATTTTTTGCACTTGCTTTTATGTATTTTGAGCAGACATTGAAAATGTGATTTGTTAATGATTTTGCAAAATGTGTAGCAGACTTGCAGTTACCTTTCTTTATTACCTGAACTCTCTTTCAGGTTGTTCTAATAGAAGTGAAAAATGAAGACGGCACATGGCCTGGACAGCATTTCCTGGCAAAGTAAGCAAGCACGTTCTAAAGGTTTCTGCTATTTTGTCCAGCTTGTTCACTAGGCTTTAGTGACCACATGTTCTCTGTGAAAGCCTAGTTATCACTGGCTATTGTGGATTTCTTTGTTTTGGATATTTTGAAGAAGGAGAGAAAATCTTGAATATAAATATTCTTCAATGGTTCTGCTGCTGGTTTCTTGTCTTAGCAACAGTCTTCCGTGTTAAAGCCCATTTCAAATAGGTTGTGTAAGGATTAAATAGCTTAGGTTTCTATAGTGCTTAGGAAATGAAAGTGCTATTTATGTTGAGCTAGGCTACTTAAAAAGCTACCTCTGCAGACTGCACAGTGGGGGGAAAAAAAAAAAATCTGTCTCTACCGTTGTAGAACAAAAAGGATCTTGGAGTATATTTCCAAAGCTGCCAGTAGTGAATGCTCAGTCCTGGTAGTTCCCCCTTAAAAGGGGTATAGAAATAGCTGAGCAACCCCCTCTACTGCCAAAGGCAATTATAGAAACCTGTAAATACTGACACAGATACTCTCTTGCTAATATCTAATTTAGAGAAGAGATAAGTAAGAAGGGGGCTTGATGGAATATTGTATGCATAGAATGAGTGGTGTAGAATGGAAGTTGCTTGCAACGATAACGAACTGCTCATATCGAGTCATACTACAGAAAGTAAAATTAAATGATTGAAATGATTTTACTAGTCTGATGGCCTACGTGCTTTCCTGTGAGTAGGCCATCAGACTTGATATTGATAAAGAAAATGTTTTTCCGTCCAATATGGTTAACTTAGAGAACTTGCTGCCAAGTGATCTCATTTGAGATTAAGCTCTTACTAGTGTTAAACTTGAAGAATGGATCAAATAGGTCAGTGAAATCTATTTTGAAACAATTGCTCACTTCTGAGATATAATACTGGGTAAATGCATCAGGATAATGTCCGTAGGATTACAATGAACTTTCTGTAAGAGTACCATGTGAAAGGCATCTAAACATTCATACCATGTACTAGTTGACAGTATTAGAGAGGCACCCATGCAAGACTAGATCATAATCTTTTGTTTCCACATAAAGCAAAGCTAAAAAGGAGCCCTGTAGCATTCCCAGGCCTCTGTCTTTTCTTTTTTTCAGCAGCTAGTCTGATATGTAAAGGCTTTTAATTAACCTCTAGTGATACTTAAATGAAAGTGGTTACCAGTATGCAGATTAATATTTTCTAATGACATTGGAAATTATAATGTAAAACTTGTGAAATTGTTTGACGATGCTGATAATGGTGGCTGAAAGTATTGTGTTGTCATACATATAGGATTATCTGTTCCTTCGTACTTTGTCTTGGCTATTTCCTTGCCCTTATCTCTGTTAAGAAACTAAGCGTGTATATTCCACATAATGTCCTCCTTATACAGTTGGGTGCATTGGTTTAGCAAGTTCTGCTCTCTGGCTCTTGTGCCGTTACTTAGTCTTGTAGGTTAAATGCATAATAACTATTTGTTCAAAAACATTGTTTGGAAAGACAAAGAGGGGAGGAAGCTGGGCTGCCTCTCCTCTTTAGGATGGACATTGGTGTGTGCTGATCAGCGCACAAACTGCTGATCAAATGATAAGGACCTTTTTAAGTGGCCAGGGCACAAAGACTATCTCTCAGGAAAGCAGTATGCTGTAACGTCTTTGGGTTATAATGAGCCCTGCCAGACTGACATCATGCCTTGCTATGCCAAAGGTGGCTGTGTCATGTAACATAAGTTGGGTAGAAAGATTGGACTTTAAACTTCTTTCTGTGTTTGAAATGGAAGGAGGAAAAAGTTGAGAACTCATAGACATATGATAACAAAAGATGATGACGAGCAGTTAGTATTTTCCTGTTAGGTTCAGTGATGTTTTCTGTGCCATTTTATGTCTTTAAGCTAGTGATATTGTACAGCAGTTGCCTTGATAACCCCAAAACCGCATATGAATCGCACTCTCGCTGTTGAAATACGAGGAAGGCTGTACTGGATCGGGACCAGATGTGTCCAGTAGCCTGCCTCTTAGTGTGGGCAGTAGCAGATGCATGTAGGAGGAGTAAAAAAAGTTCCCTGTAAGAAGAGGGCATAATTAGCAATGCATCTGCCATGGTGTACTGCTGTCTTCCGGTAGTCTGCAGTTCAGACTCTTTCCGAGACAGCTGAGTCTAGATATTTATGTTGCATATATGTTGACTGTCTGGGGGGACTTCTCTTCTACTTTTTGGTGCTTCCTCTCTTGCGTGTCATCACGCCCTGTCAAATGTGGGTGGGCTGGTGGCAGTCTAGACTGGATCATTTGTATATGTTAAGTTTTCTTTCTGCTGTTCTTTCAAGGGTTATTTCACAAAGCTTTTTACCTATTTTTAGGGGATTTATATTTTAAAAAGAAATAACAAAGCTTTTTTTTTGTTACTTAATATATTCTTAGTGAGTAAACTAAATTCAACTTCTCTTACTTGAATCATGAGTGTTGCTCCATATTAATGCATTTATAAATGCTCTGTGCTTTCCTTTCATATCAGTCATAATCAGTTCTGAAGTTTACTTGGTTTCCTTCCCTTTTTTAGCATATCTTCATATAAATGCATAAATACTTAATACTCTGTAGTTTGTAACTTAATTTGATGTTTGAATATTCTCCAGCTAGTTCTCATGTTTTATTGAGAATCCTTAATTTTTTCAAGACATTTTCTTAAGGGTAGTTTCATATTTCATTTTGTTTTGAATACACTGTCTAAATTTCACTTCCTTATGAAGTTGAAAGTGCAAGTGCAAAGCACATGCAAAGATTTCTTACTAATCTCAGGTTGAGTCTTTTACATAAATTAATCTTGGAGCAGCATGGATTTTTTTTTTTTCCCCTTGGAGGGCAGGAATTCAATAAATAAAATCATTAATAAAGCTTTTCTATATAATTAAAAAATTTAGCTGCTTTTTTAACCATGTTCTTTCATTTGCCAGATATCTCAGCAGACGCCTCAAGGGAAAGCGTACTCTGACTTTAAGTGTGTTTTGAGTTGATCTTTTAAAATTTTTTTCTTTTGTTCTGGAAACAGTAGAAGTCTGTACTGCAGTGAAACATTGCCAGCATTTTCACTGTTTCTGTGAGCTGGTAAAAGACTCACTAACCTGGAGTGTAGGGTTCAAATCTTGTTACTGGGTTGGGACGTGATTTGTCTTTCCGTGGGCGTGTTTGTGCATATACATGTTGCATAAAATCAGTATTATATGTTTAAGACTCCAGATTAGTGAGTGTGGTACAAACTCGTAGGGACTGTTTATGTATATAAAATCTGTGGGTGATTGTGAGCAATTGAACCAGACGGAACTGGTGACAGAGGAAGGAGGAGAGAAGAGTAGCCAGAGAGAAGATACAGAGTTCCCAGCTCAGAAGAGTACCAGTGTCTTATTCTGTGCGCTCAGGAGGTGTTCAGGGTACGTTACGCTGTATTAATATCACAGAAAGTAATTCTGTAGTAAAGGAGGTTCTTGTCTGTAGGAAACAACTACTGCTTTTTGGAAGCTAAGGCTGATATCAGAAGTGAGTTGGAAGCTGCATTAACAGCATGGCTAAGAAGATCAGGGAGACTATCACCCTGAAAACCTGTTCTGCTCTTTTGTGAGGCTAAGCAAGTCTGTAATGTTGATAAGCTGTTACGCTTTCTAAATAAACTTACATTTTGAAGTTCTGAAGAACC